GAACGACGGTTCTGATGGAGAAAATAAAAAGATTATAAGAGAATGAGGATTGTAACCATAAAAAAAAAACAAAAAGATTGAGAGACGGTAAAATAGAGGAGCGTAAGAGACATAAAGATTTATAATAAGAAATTGATTTTCTCCTCTTATGATTTTGTGGAATGGAACGATGGAGAAAAAAGAAAGAAATTAAAATTACAATAGTGAAAGGACTTTCGATTCCGGAGAGATGGATTCAAAGAGACATGTGAGATATCTCTTGTATCGAAATAAAGTTAGACGGACTAACCGATGAAATTGGGGAAGAAGAGAGATGAATGTATTGATAATAGTGCTTCTTCACACAAACCTTTACACACGTAACATAACAATATAATTTTGTAGAGACATACTATTGATAGGTGTATAACAATATGAATAGGGGCTATACAGGGATTAAGAAAAAACACATCAGCAGTAATCTTCAAATTCCATCCGTGCAAATTATAGTGTTTGCGGTGTATACTGAGTGCAAATTCTCTTCTTCTTTTTTTTTACTTTATGCTACTTTTTAAAAAACTTTTGCTACTATTCGTCACTCTTTTGTTTGTTGATCTCTATGAAATCTTCAGTTACTATAATATTTAATTTATGATAGAAAATCTAGACATTATGTTATTATTCCTCGAAGATAATGTATTGTTTTCTATTATCTTCAATACATAATGCGCCCATCAATTATCATCTGATGTGTTTTCTGGTCAATTCTCTAAACAGAATTCATCAGTACTTCAAAATTTTGAACAATATTGCATCTCACCATAGATGAACTTTGTATCATCTTATGGCAATTCTTATGCAAATTTGTTTCGCTCATATAGGAGATTAAATTAATATCAATCTTTTTGATATAATCAAGTTTTGAACTCATTTTTTATAGAAAATATTACACCTAGGAGCAGTTTTCAAGTTATTATTAACATAATATGGCACTTCACACTACAAGGACACTTATTTCTAACAGCTGATTTATGAACCCAATTAGTTTAGTTACAGCCCAACTATATCGTTGTTTAAGAAAAACAGAAGAAACACTTTATTAGCGGAAACAATTCATGGCCACACATCTCACCCCCCCCCCCATCGATGGTCTAGAATTAAGCAGTACACTAGGACAAGACTCATATCTGCCACTCCTTTCACACTGTTGGATCCCCCTTCTACTTTTTTCTGAACGGTCCGGATTAGCAGAAACAAAACTTCATCCTCATCCTCTTTGGTTTTCACATCGACACACCCCAAACGGAAGAGATTAACGTTTAATCTAATAATCTTACTAATCTTGAGATCAACGATACATTCATTATCTTGCCTAAATCCAGGTTAGTTCCATCTCAAGACTACATTACAGCTAGCTACTAAGTTCCCTTTTTTTTTACAACGAACCTAATTTCTGCATTTTTGTTCCACGAGCTCAGCCATGGAAGATCATTGTATGATCATTCCCGGCGAATGGAACTCCCGTGATTCTCTGTGGAAGTTTGCTATAGATCAAAAGAAAATGTCAAGGATTGTCCCTGTGCGCCTGGGAATGTCGTTGATTGACTTACAAAACAATGTCGTCAAAGAGTTCTTCACCTTCACCGACCCACCACCACCTGCCGTTTTGACCTATTGGCCACCTAACACGAAAGAACTCGCTACTGGTCTCACAACACCACCGGTGATTCTCTCAAACGACAGAGCCGTCACATATTGTTTCCATCATTTTGCAGCCCACCAATCCATGAATTTGTTTGTAACCTTCGAGACGATATGAGACAGACAGCAAACGAGTCAAGTCGACGAGAATCATTTACCATTCACAACACCAAACCAAACTATGAAGCACAATCTCAACCATTTTCGCCCCTCATCGACAGCCTCATATAAGATCCCCTCTTTTTCCCTGTTTGATGAAGATGAGCTACGACAAGATCTTCCCACAAACTCGCCAAAGGCGACCACAACCCCCATATACTCTGCTGGGACGAGTACGCCTGCTTCAGTTCCTTCAAAGGTACAACGTGTATCCATTAACGAAGAAACTCTTTCTTGTGGATATGAAATGCTAGAAAAAATGTTCAACGAAAACCCTGACACCATCCCAGACGACTGGATAATCGATGATGAGGACGAGCTGGTTTCTGAAAGTTCCCAACCTACAGACATTGAATATGTTCCCCCTCGTGGATACGACAAAGATTATTGGGGGCCTTTGCTTGACGACACACTCGGCGGGTCCGATGCAGCTGATATCTTGGCTGGTGTTCATGTACCTAAAACTTCCTCTCACGTCGTCCACTGCACCACCGGTGATGCTTCCGATCATACAGTCCGAACGTCTGGTGAGGATTCAACTGAGTGGAAGAAAGACCTTGAATATCTCGGTGTACACCAACGAGCGGCACCTCGTGTACACCACCCTTCAGTATCCACATGTACATCTAGTCGCGACTCATCCACCTGTACACATGGATCAGCATACACAGGCGACACTCATCAACCTCCACTTACCTCACCCCCACCAGCGTGTGAGACAAGGCCACTTTCTGAGATAAGCGATGAGGAATTAGACTTACCTTCTCTGTTCGACGATACCTCATACCAAGCTGAAGCTGTTCCAGACCTCAATTGGGAGGAATCAGATGTCGAACCTCTGGTTGGGAAGCTATACGCCAACAAACAGGATTGCCAAATCAGCTTAGCTATCTATGCTATCAAGGAACTCTTCCACTTCAGATAGACGAGGACGACAAGGCATTCTTTTGTTCTTAGTTGCCATGACACCCCTTGCGATTGGCGCATCCTAGCAAAATAACTGACCAGTTTTGGGTACTACACCATCAGGAAGGCACAACTCACCCACACCTGCTCATTTGAGTCGCGCAATGACTACAAAGAAAGGGCGACATCAAAAGTAATCACCCATGCCTATCGTTCTCGGTATGGGAATCCGAACCAGAGTCCTAAAGCAACTCAGCTGCAGCAGCTTGTACTTGAGGATCTGCGGGTATGTGCTTCTTACATGAAATGCCACAGGGATAAATCTCAAGCCCTTGACCTCACCGTTGGCAAACCAGAGGACTCATACCTCAGCTTAGCCTATTACTTTGAGAGGCTCAAAGCCACAAACCCCGGTACACAAACTGACATAGAGACTGAATTAGATGATTTTGGTGAATCTCGTTTTCTCTACGCCTTTCTTTCTTTTGGTGCTTCAATACAGGGTTTCCGGTGTGTGCGTCCTATTCTTATTATCGATGGCACACATCTTTCTGGAAAGTATAAAGGGGTACTCATAACCGCCAACGGGCATGACGGTAACTTCCAAGTCTTTCCTCTTGCTTTCGCAATTGTAGACGGGGAGACCGACAACGCATGGGTTTGGTTTCTGCCTAAGGTTGAGAGGATTATAGCGGACTCCAATACCCTTTGCATTATTTCGGACCGCGCAGCCTCTATTGTTAAAGCCATAAAACTCATCTTCCCCAAGGCTAACCATGGCGCATGTATCGTGCATATAATGCGCAATGTTGTCTCCTGGTTCAAGAGTAAAGGGCTGGCGAAAATGGTTTGTGCTGCTGCGTTCTCCTACAAACGTAAGGACTTTGATGATAAATTTGGAAAAATAAGGCAAGCTAATTCTGCCTGCGAAATACCTTGAAGACATTGGGACTTCCAGATGGTCTAGGACTTATTTCCCAAGAAACCGCTACAACCTCTTGACAAGCAACGTCGCGGAGCAACTCAACAACGCCTTATCCAAATCCTGGGATTCACCAATCGTCGAGTTGTTCATGTTTATCCAGCGCATGTTAACTCGGTGGTTTTCTACTAGAAGAACCAAGTCCGCCAAACACAGGGGTTCTGTCACCCCCGAGGTTGATGTTGTTATGCAGACACACATTAGACTAACCAAAGGTACTAAAATGAACAACATCATTGAGTGGCAGTTCCAGGTGAAAGGTATTTTCGACCATGGTAACACTGTTTACCTCGACAACAAAGTTTGCACTTGCTAAGTTTTTCAGAAACTTAAAATCCCCTGCGGACATGCGATGTTGGCAGCTGACTCAATTGGGTACCCTTATGTCCAGCTTGTTGGAGACTACTACAAAACTCAGGCATGGATTGAAACCTACTCTGCTGTCATATATCATGAACCACCCTGGGGTGAACTCACCATACCTCCAACAATAGCTACTCTAACTTTATATCCTCCCTATACTCGTCGTCCATCTGGGCGTCCAAAGGACAAGCGCATCCCGTCCACTGGAGAAATTCAGGTAACAACATACAATCCCTATCCTTCAATAATTATGGAATCCCCTACGCTCCAAAGTATTCATGTTTTATTAATTTATCCAAGGTACCTAAGAATACAAAAGTCAACAAATGCAGTCGTTGTGGTGTCTCGGGTCACAACAGGATCAACTACGTCACCCCCATCTGAGGTGTTCGGTGAATCTTATATCCACGGGAATTTACTTTTGGATAGCGCATTCACCCTATAACAACCACTTTTGATTGTCAATCCTTTTTTGTTGTATCTTCATGTTAAAACTCATATAAACATGTAATGGCTGTGAAACATGGGATTATTTTATTTGCTATTCTATCTACAATATTGATATTCAGAAACCAGGTCTGCATGTTATCAAACAACCCTCATTTTTTTTTAGTACGCCTTCGCTCTGTATCCACATGAATACATACTCAAGATATCGGTGTACACACTTTAACTTTACATTGTCCACCTCCTAAAACGTTAAAAACCACCCCGAAATGCTGTACACAATCAAACATGTACATCCATTTGTATACGAACAGATCTACATGAGTACTTTCCACACCAGCAGCTTTATATGTTCTTCTTCCCACAATATTTTTATTATCTACTCATCCACGTTGACATCACCAGACCTATCTTCAGTGTCTACACTATTCAGCACCAACTTAGCATATTGTACTTAAAATTTTTATGTTCTTGATGATGCAAAGTTTAACACGAATAAACGCATAACAGAGAAGATGAATTCGCTAAGAAAAACAATCCCATGATGAATGAAAAAGGTGATCAGTCCATGAAAGTACCACAGAATTAAAAGAAACATTACGATAGAAAATTTTCATCAGAGGGTAATGAAATCATTTCATAAATCAAGCTTTAGCCTTTTTGCCTTTGGTGTCTGCAGCTACTGGTTTAGCCTTGAAAGGCAAAAACGTCTCTCCGCCCATAAACGGCTGCAAAACCTTAGGGATCTCCACACCATCCTCACGCTGGTAGTTCTCTAGAATGCAGCATATGGTCCTCTCTGTGGCGGTAAGAGTCGAGTTCAGCATGTGCACATACTGCTTCGTCTGCTCATTGCTCTGTGCATCCAAGAAAAAACAAATCAAAGACATTACACAAGGTCAAGTATCTTTGCTAGGACAGAGAGAGAGAGAGACTTACCTTCTTCTGACCGTATCGGATCTCAAGTCTTCGAGCTTGGTAGTCAGTACAGTTCGAACAGGACACAAGCTCTCTGTAAGTACCCGACGAAGGAAACCAAGCTTCCAAGTCATACTTCTTTGCAGCTGCATCGTTCAATGCTCCAGAGACGATGGACACGATTTGGTATGGAAGATTAAGCTGCATAGGAATCATCATATACAATATAGCCTAACAAGAAAACAAGATTTTCCTAAACTTTTGAATATAGAAATTTACCGCTTGGTAAAAATCTTCAGAGTTCTTCATCATCTCGTCAAGCATTTTCCACGAATCATTCTCGGTAGGACCAGTGATGCAGAACTGTTCAATCTTCTCAAACTGATGAACACGGAAAATGCCAAGTGTGTCTCTTCCATGGGAACCAGCTTCTTTTCTAAAGCACGACGAGTAACCAGCATATCTAGACCAACCAAAAACATTATCATGTCAATAACTTGTAACTCAATACATGAAAAAACAATAGTCTACTCGATGATATGTTTACTTTATGGGAAGCTCAGTCGGGTGGATCCATTCATCGATATGGTATGCACAAAGAGGTTGCTCTGCAGTAGCAATAAGGTACTTGTCATCTCCTTCACCAGTCACCTGAATTAAAAACAAAACTCTACTCAGAATCAAAGCTCAACACTAACATGATAATTAAAACATATATATGTTTCTACAAGACCTTGTAAAGTTCTTCATCGAACTGTGCCAACTGTGCACACTTAGCCATAACATCCTTCCTCATGAAGAACGGAGGCTGCAACCCAGTGTAGCCCCTCTTTTTCAAAAAGGTCAGCCCAAAGTTGATAAGAGCTTGGTTAAGTAGCAAACCATCTCCTTTCAAGAAAAATCCTCTTGCTCCAGCAATCTCAGCACCTGTGTGTTCACAATATCATCAAAACCAACACGGATTCAAAAAGTGTCAAGCCAATGCGAGTACCTCTCTTGGTATCAGCAATGTCAAGAAGCTCAACGAGATCTACATGGTTCTTCAGCTTCATACCAGGGGGAGGAACAAGCTTCTCACCCCAAACTTTAGTCACAGCATTATTCGCCTACAAAATTGAAAAAAACACCATAAACCACTCTCCTTTACAATCACCACAGTGCTTGCATTTAAAAGAGCTAAAACAAACCTCATCATTGTTAACTGGAACAGAGTCATGGACGAGATTCCCAACAGTCTCCAACTTAGCTTGCAAAGCAGCATAGGCTTCACGAACTTCAGCCTCCTTCTCTGTAGCATCACGTTTGTTCTTCTCCGTTTGTTGAATCACCTCACTCGCATCAGCACCAGACTATTCCAATAAAAAAACAAGAAAAAACCAAAAACACATTCAGAATCTCATTTGCATCCTTAAGTACAACTAGTGTTCTAAAGATCCGCCGCCTAGTCGCCAAATCAGTTATGAGCCAAATGATTTTTTCATTCCGAAAAAAATGGTCTAGGCATTCAAAAAATCAGCCTAGACGCCTAAATAATAATCTCTCTATTAGAGGCCTAACCACTGGCTAGTCGGCAAATCAAATATGAGCGAAATGATTAGATTTTTCGAAAATCGGTCTAGGTGTTCAAAAATCAGCCTAGACGACTCTATTAGATGCCTAACCACTAGCTAGTCGGCAAATCGGATATGAACGAAACGATTCTAGTTTTTAGAAATCGGTCTAGGCGTTCAAATAATAATCTCTCTATTAGAAGCTAACCACTGGCTAGTTGGCAAATCAGATATAAGCGAAATGATTAGATTTTTTAAAAATTGGTCTAGACGTCCGCCTAAATAATAATCTCTCTATTAGAAGTCTAACCACTGGCTAGTCCGCAAATCGGATATAAGCGAAATGATTAGGTTTTTTAAAAATCGGTCTAGACGTCCGCCTAAATAATAATCTCTCTATTAGAAGCCACTGGCTAGTCCGCAAATCGGATATAAGCTATAAGCGAAATGATTAGATTTTTTAAAAATCGGTCTAGGCGTTCAAAAAATCAGCCTAACGACTCTATTAGAAGCCTAACCACCGCCTAGTCGGCAAATCGGATATAAGGGAAATGATTCAGTTTTTTTCTAAATCGTTCTAGGCGTTCAAAAAATCAGCCTAGACGCCCGCCTAAATAATAATCTCTCTATTAGAACCCTAACACCACCACCTAGCGATTTTTTAGAACATCGAGTATAAGTTACTAACGATTTTGAGCTTGGCGACTTGTTTGTTAAGCTTATTGAACTCTTTACGGAAGTTATCCACTTCGAATTGACCTGTACAAAAACACATCACACACACGACGAAAAAAAGGTTGTTAGAGAAATCAAGATACGATTCCGTTACGATGAGAGAGTTTTAAAAAGAGGTGGTTACGTTGGCGCCATTCTTTGTCGAGCTTAATGATCTCGTCGACGACTTCAACGCTGGCGAATCTCCGGCGTTGCGATTCGCGGATGATCTCGGGGTTGTTTCCCTTCTCTTCTCGGAATAGATTGATATCCAACATGTTTGTTTGTATGAATCTATAAAAAGATCAAATAAACAGTTATTGGATTTGGAGATGGGAATAAGCGACGAAGAGAGAAAGAGAAGTGATAACTTACGTAGGACTGTGGTAGAAGAAGAAGATGATGACTATCTGCGGCGGTGATTTTTACCTCTGAAGCGAAGAAGGTCTATTTAGGGCTTTTGTGTTCTTTGTAAATTGATTTTCTTTATGATTTAAATTACCGAAATATCCCTTTATGTTTTCTAAATCACGGAAATAACCCAAAACTTTTCTTAATTAATAAGATCGTCTTTTTCTTTTAGATAATTCTCTCGAATAGACATTAGTAAATTTTTATCACAAAATAAACTTTTTTTCACAAAATAAACCTCAAAAACTAAAATAACCAAAAGATTATTTTTTATTTTGAAAGTTTAAATTTTTTACTTTATTTTTTAAAACTTCAAATCTTATCCCAAAATCGCAAACAAAAACTTAGGATTAATCAACTCAAATGATATAAATGTATTTAATTATTTTTTGATAAAATATTTTAATTTATTTTAGTTGTTTATTTTAATTTTTAAAATATATATTCGTGACAAAAAAAATTAGATATATCTTAAAAAGTTTCTTTTTTTTTGTTTTGGTCAAATAAATCGTCTATTATTATAACCTTTCCACGTCGTGGCATTACGAAGGTTGAGAAGTATAATATTCAACTACCAAATGAAATTATGGAATCTGCATCTTTAACTCTGACATGAGATGAGATATAAACACAAACTAAGTTGTGGTAGGGTTAGTGGTAAAAAAGAAACTTGTGGCTAGACAAAATTATAATGAATAGAGAAAGTCAAGGAGACACACACTAGAGAATGTGACCATAGTAGAAATCTTTATGTGTCTGCCATGTTATGTAACAAAAACATTGTCATAGTTCATACTTCTTTCAAGAGAATCCAACTGATCATCATGTCTATTATCATGCATTCATTTCTACAAAAAGAAAAGATATTTCACATGTAAAGAAAGCATTTTACATTAAACACATCACTAGTTAAAAAAAAAAAATTGACTTTTGAACTTCTAGTAGACAGTGAGCTAGTTTAAGAATGGTGAGAGGCCTAATATGATATTGTCAACCATATAGCATCAGAGGAGAGACTCTGGTCTGATCAAAAGCTAATCTCAGCTCCATTACCACCAATTGAAGCAGTGAAGCACTGAAAACCGCTGGACTCAAGCTCTTGCACCACTTTCTCCACCACCGTCCCTGAAACCACTTCATTTACCAAAGAATTATACAACGTCAAGGGACAAAACAAAGATCAAGATTTCAAGAAAACTTTATGATGAAGGATACATGTAGGTAATAGAGTGAGGACACAGCCGCCACCACCAGCTCCAGTCAGTTTTGAGGTAAGTTTGTGCTTGAGAGTGGTTTGTATCACTGTATCAATAGAGCTGTGGCTAACCCCCATTGACTCCAGCAAGCCTTGGTTCATCTCCATGAGTTCTTTTATCCTCTCTTCTCTCTCTGTAACAGAGATGTCATCTTTGGTTTGGATGATTGCAGCCATCTCTTTGCTTATAGAGTCCACTGCATTGAACACAGAGTTCATCGCCTCTGGATGTCTCAATGTTCTCTCTGACACACCAGAGACCAGAGCTTTAGTGTTACGACCAACTTTAGTATTGGTGATTAGCATTCTTAGAGGCATGTTTGTCTGTAACCGAGTTATCTCCCCTGAGCAGAACTTGATCATGTTCCCTGCAACAAACCACAAACACACACAAAAATGGTTTTTCTATAACGTTTTGATGAGAGAGTTTTGGATGTTTTTGATATTTGAAACAAACCATATGCACTGACGGTGTTGTCGATCCCTGAAGGTTTCCCATGGATGATCTTTTCACCTTCAAAGGCCCATTTGTTCAGCAACTCGAGATTGCTTTCATCTAGAGAGGACCAACCTTCACCACGAGTTTTGTCTGAACTAGAAGATGCAATGAGAGCAGCTGTGAGAGCTACACAAAAAGCTGCTGATGAACCGAGGCCAGATCCGTATGGAAGCTCGGTTGTAATGATAACCGTAGCAGGAATGAATCTAAAAACACACAACAACAAGACTCAAACAATATGAAAATAAGTTGGAATGATAATTGTTTTTGTTTACCCTAAGATGCTGGTGTACAACCAGAGGAAGGTGGAGATCCCAGATGAGAGCCAGATCTTTGCCTCTGGAATGTTTTGCTCTTCAACCAAAACAACAATTGATTTAAGTGTCTCACTTGAACATGAAACCGGCGTAGAAGGGGAAGAAGTGTTTGAAACAGAAGGAATCACTTCTTTGAGTCTGGATACAGACCAAGAAAACTCCAAGGAAAGGTCCTTGAGCTGAAGTGTAAGCCTATCATTGTTCTCACCTGTCAAAAGAGAAAGTGTAAATGCTTTCAGTAACACTTTTAACAACCATCAATGTTACTTGTTCCACATTTGATATGAATCCATCTGGTACTAAGGTCAAGGCATTTGCTAATAGACATGCCTCTACACTCTTACATCAACACAATGTCCAAAAGATGATTACTCTTAACTTAGAACAAGAACATCCAAAGTCTAGAACCAAATCAAGTTTGAGAAAATGTAATTTAAAGACTATCCTGCAGATGCAGGTGATCTCAATGAGCATTAACAACCAGAAAAAGGAAACCAAAACTAGGGAACCTGAAAGAAGAGGAAGGTGGAGAGTGACGTAAGTGTAGAGATCAATGGCTGCAGCTACAGCTGTGGATCCATGGACAACAGCATGTTCTCCTGCAAGTATAATCTTCCCCGGAGCTCTCGCTTTCACTTCCATTTCTCTAAATCAATGTTACGTAAACAGAACAGAAATGTCAAGGAAACATATAGAATACCTATAGCAATGGAGTCTAGCAGCTATGTAACTGTATATAACAGTGATACTGTTACAAAACATGAATCAGATCAGAGGGTATTTGTATAATTGAGATCTGAATCAAACTAAAGACTAAAATGGTAAAAATGTGAATCAGATCAAAGCTGCTCCGATCGAAAAAAGAGAGCGTGTACCTGGAATTGCCAAAACAAGAAGGTGGAGACTGTCTGAAGCCTCCTTCACGAGCAGCGTTCCCTTTAGTTAACCATTTTTAACAATCTTTACTTTTCAGTTTCGGTTTGGTTTTGTGTTTCAGAAACGTGTTTTAAAGAAGAGGTTGGAAGAAACGTGAGAGACACACACACAATCCCATACGCAACAACGGCTATTTCTATTAGACGAAAAAACAAGAAGACATAAATTGCGCTGGTGGATGGAGAAGCAAAACGGAACAGAGTAAAAAAGGAAAAAATTGTTTAATGAAGTTAGTAATGGTAAAAGAGTTGATTGAAGAGACAAAAGGATTAGTCTATTATAAGTTCCATTACAAAAACTTTCAAACAAGTGAACATAACTCTCTCCATTCCTACATGCATGCATGAGAGGCCTCTTGATAATTATCTGTATGCATTGGGTAAACGATAACCAGACATAACTATTTTGTCAGCAAACATCTTGCCAGTCTTGGGCATGACATGCCAGTGTAGTGTCAGATTAAAGTCTTTCCCTCTGAGGTTGTGTCCCTATAAAGATTCCATTAACAAACAACAAATCAGATACTCTCTTCCGAACAATGAAAGATTCTGTAAGTTCCTTTTCATATATATACCTGGTCTATGAAACGGTACTTGTTTGAGATTTGAATCCAGAATTTAGCTTGCTCTTTCTCAGGTATTATGGCATCCCATAGAGAAACCTGTGAAAATGTCAAGTTCATGGAATGTCAACAAAGGGTCCTTATCAAACATTATAGTTATAAAGTAGGCAGCAACACACTAGAGCCACATATCTCTGAACAGAGCAGAAGGCACACTAGAGCAGGGTCCTGATCAAACATGAGAGCTATAAAGTAGGTAGCAACAGACTAAAACTACATATATGTTCTTATCCACAAACAGAGCAGTATGCTATAAAAGCAAAGTAGATTTATACCTGGTTCAGGGAGTTCTTTGAGGTTTTATACTCTGCTGCTACAAATGCGAATACCTGCAAATGTTTTCGTTTAAGTTGGTCCAACCAATACAAAACGAAGTATACAACAAGACAGTATGAAATAAGGGAGAGCTCAGGTTAAAGCTTTAGATGCTATACCTGCTTTGTGTTCCAAGTAAATAGTGACTGCAAGTCCGCTGTTATGTTTAGTGTCAAGCTCACCTGAAAACACGTAGAAAAATGCTAAGCATTTAGAATATATACAACTGATAACTGGCAGCCTGACGCGTGACGACCCGATAAAGAAGATAAAACTAGAGGTGTGTGCAGTGTGCATAAGCTGAAAAACAACCGAGTATATACTTATTAACTGATATCACATCTGTGGTAACTACCAACTTCAACAAATTGACTAATGATTTTCAGGAGTAGGCTAATGAATATATACACTAAGCTTTTATAAAATCCCATACTAAAGGCACAAAGTTAGAGGCCATGACTCGTAAGTCTTAACCTTATTCAGCTATCAAGAAAAAAAAAGCCAAAAATCTGTTTCCTTGCTTCGAAGGAAAGCTTAACACAAACAGTATGAAACGAAACACAAACAGTATGAAACGAAACACAAACACAAGATCAGAGCTTAAATTTCACATAGGACAGACTTTACATAGACAAGGCATGAATTAATGATGAAATAAGCATTTATTTACCAACCAAGAGTGACCAGATAAACATAATTCATAGCGATAGATGGTACACTCAAGCATATATAATGAAGTAGAAAAACACACAAGGAGGGGTAAGTAAGAACATGAAAGCTAACCTCATCATTTCCATGAGGCTGCTTCTGAAACCAATTGATATTCAATATCTGCACACCACATCACAAACCATTAACAAACCCACTACATAAAAATTCAACCTTTTCACAACCCATATATTAAAATTCAAACTTTCCACAACCCCATATATTAAAATTCAATCTTTCCACAACCCATATATTAAAATTCAATCTTTCCACAACCCATATATCAAAATTCAATTTTTTCACAACCCATATAACAAATTCCCAGAAAGGCTCAACCTTTATCGTTTTCCCAGAATCTAAATAAAATTACAGATCCAAACAACTTAACCCTAAGAGATCTCTTCAACTAAATAAAAACAAAAGGCAAACCTGGATCTGAGCAGAGGGAGTTTGGTTACTGAAGTTATCAGAGAAGGAGGCAATCGCGCAGATAAAGGCAAGTATCGTGATAGCAAACGTGAGGAGAGCATTCGCTCTGTATCCAAAAGAATGCATCTTCTTTTTATCGTATCGAAATCTTCTTTTCTCCCACTCAGAAGAAGAAGAAAGAAGAAGAGAAGAACGTTTTTTTAATTTAATTTTGTTTTTTTATAATTAATTAATATTTGATTTATTTCCTTGACTGACTGATATGCTGTAATGTGATTGGCCAAGCCACGTAGAACAACTAATGTTGATATAAACCGGTTTTCCGGTTTACAATATCACCGGTTAAGACATTGATTGACTGGTTAAGACATCGAATAACTTGTTATTAAAGCTAAGCGAAAATTAGGGGTGAAAAATGATAAATTGATCCAGTTCAGTTCAATCTTAAAACTTCTTATCCGGTTTGCATGTTGGAAATGTTGTGACAAACTAAATACTTTTTTTGTTCATTAGACCGTTTACTAGAGTTAGAGATCTATTACCAAATGTTGATGTTTCATTTTAGTACGATATTGTGTAATTTTGGGCATAAATCATCACGGATTTACATTGAGAAAGAATTTTCTCCACATACCAAGTAGAGTTGGATCAAACTTATATATAAAACTTTCCTTGGTATGTTATTACTAGACTTTAATTGCCTACTTATTCTAATCCGAAATGAGCTTCTTCATCTTCTTATGGCAGACAACAATAGTGGCATTTTGGTTTTAAGTTTTGTTTCTCTCTCTTATGGATATCATTTTATCGTCACTAAACACCCTCTTACCACCTTACTATATATGTAGGCTTCAAAGTTCCACCCAAACATTTGAGTGGAGAAATATATCCCACTAAAGGATATCTATACATATTTGATTTTAGCAACAGATGGTTGGAGAAGTTTGAAGATGCTTAGAAAAAAGTTATAGTGTGTAGCAACTAACAAAACCCATTAAACTAAAAATATACCATCCTCTTGTTTGTCACATCGTGTAATCAAATTCATCTCTATGCATGTGCACAAAGTGCATTTGCATTCAGTCCATTTCTTTTGTAATTTTCAGTTAAAATTTAGAATCCTTTTTTTGTTGTAAATATAAGGTTTTTATAAATTATTTTATATTGTCCATATATACAAAAAAAAAAAAAAGAATTTGCGTACGGGCTGTGTTTATGTTTATGATTACGTTCCCCTTTTGTGTGTGTAATAAAATGGTTTGATGGTGAGTTTTTAGAAATCAACGGAACCTTCCCTGGAATTGAAAGTAGGATTATTGCGTTCCCGTTATCATGACTTTTGGTAATTTTACACATTATCTTTCTAGAACAAAGTGTACGGGCTGTGTTTATGTTTATGATTACGTTCCCCTTTTGTGTGTGTAATAAAATGGTTTGATGGTGAGTTTTTAGAAATCAACGGAACCTTCCCTGGAATTGAAAGTAGGATTATTGCGTTCCCGTTATCATGACTTTTGGTAATTTTACACATTATCTTTCTAGAACAAAGTTGACCAATCTTTTTTTTTTCTTTTTTGCTAAAAGGTAAATATCATTTCAGAAATGAACGGTAGAAGTTTACAATTAAACAAACTATAAGACTTCTAGAAACTTACTTCCATGGCAAAAAAAGGTAAAAAACATGGAAGCAAAAAACAATCGAACTTGAAACTGTTCTGCTTTGGAGCGAACAAGACATCAGGTATCGATACAGACTTGTAGTAATCAGATGGAAGATTGAGCCGAGACAGGCATGAAAGGAGAAACCCGAGAAACTAGAACACGAAAAACACAACGCTAGTGGGAAGTGGACCAATTTTTCCTGCGTCACATTTGTTGAACAAGTAACCTTTACGGATCCGTATAAAGGCGGCGACCTAGTCGTAGTCCACCTCTTTTGGTTGTCAACAGTCGTCGTCTATCTAGACGATATACATTATATTGGGAACGAAAACGAAGTTGCCATATTTGATACTCCCAAGTTATATCATTCTCAAACTTTTTTTTTGTCCTATGTAAGGGTTATCTCGTACTTGGTTGTTCAAATATTAGTACATTCTTTTTACTAATTCCGTCTAGAACACTTTGGAAAAAGTTTAAGCAATCATTGCTAAAAAAATTGTTAACTATGATCTATTGTATTCGATGAGTAAAACACTTTTCATATTATTGATTTAACTATTTACAAATAAACCGATTATTATGAATATTCATGTTCGAAGAAAAAAGACTAGTATCTTCTCTTTTATGTATATTCTTGGTCGACGAATAAGACTTTTTTTTGTTTTTGTTTTTTAAAGAATAGAGAGCCAATCTCCACCCATTATCCGACTCGTTGTTCTTTGTTTGACTTATAATGATCCTGTCTTTCTGAAGAAAAACTCAAAAACATCATATAAAACAAAACAATCTCCTTGTCCATGGGATTGACTTTTAATATCTTACAAGAAAAAAAGAAAATAAAAGAATTACGTAAATTTTTTTGTACCAAGTTATGAACAATGCACAAAACATGTTTGATAGAATAAGAGAACAGCCTAAACCGGTAACCTAACGGAACCACTAGATAAACCAATTGTACCGGTATTCTGATCTTGAACCGACGATGTTCCTTCACCGTCCTTAACTCTCGGCGAAGGAACCGGCGTACTCCTCCACATAAACGACGGATTTCTAAGAAAATTCCACCGGTCTGCTCGTACCGAATCACCGGTTGGACTAGTTATTGCATTTGCTTTGGTACTACCTAGCCTAATGGAACCATCATCCCTACTCCTCCACAAAAACGACGGTGTTTTAATAAACAACCACCGGTCCGATCGAGCCCTTGACCGTTCAACCCGTTTACCACTCCTCGACCGAACCAAAACACTATTCGACCGGTTCATCTTCCAATTCGCCATTATCTTCTTCCTCAATTCTTCCGGTAACCTTAACGTAAACCGCTCCGTACATTCTCCAGGTAACACCACCGAATGCCCCGTCGTATGCGACCTCGGAAGCTTGACACGTGTTACCGGTTCAGGAACAACCGTTTGCTGCAACTCGATATCAATTTCGGTTACTACTTCCGGTTCAACCGGGTCAACTCTCTGCTCTATTTGTTCAGCGAGATTGGTCCGACAAACCGGACAAGTCACGTGACTTTTTAACCACGCGTCAATACAGTGAGGATGGAACACGTGATCACACTTAGGCAACAAACGCAGCGTTTCGTCGTCCTCGAACTCGTTCAGACATATCGCACACTCCAACGCGCCTTTACCTATCTTCTGCGTCTTCACCTCAGAGTAGACGAAAGTAGGGAACGTCTCGATCGTCGACGCGTCTACCCCACGCGCCACGGTCGCGTTTACTACTCTCCTGGTTCCGACACGTGGATTAACGCTGCCGTCTGAGGATGCGTTAGTGCAGTGACGGAGGTAGATGGTGAAGAAGCCCATGAAGAAGAGAAGAGCGATCACCACGACCACGACGCCTGCCATGACGGGGCTTAACCTGCCGCCGTAGTCATAAGGGTTGTTCGGGTCGGATCCGTTGGGTTGACCCGAAGCTAGCTCCGACATGGTTAGTAGTAGAAACAGAACAAGCGCTGGTAGCTTGAAGATACTCTTCATACTTTATGGAGATAAAAATAAAAATACGGTAAAGTTTTTTTTTTTTTTTAATTGAAGTTAGTGATGAGGAGAAGGATGTGGAGTTTATAGAGAGGTTTTATTTGAAAAAGTTGAAGGCTAGGAGGAACGGCTCAAAGAAGTGGGACCGGTTTGGGGTTATGACGTCAGCAAATGTGTCACTAACTGAGATCCACGTGGATAGAAAGACTTTTCCGATTGAGGTGTGTAATGAAAGTCGTAATATTTCGCTGACTTTGAATAGGTTGACATGGTCTTGTTTTTCATTTTATCAAATATATTATATGAAAGGAATCATTTCTAAAAGTGGTCAATTTCATATTCTTTTTACCTTCGCACTTGCAAGTTTCATTTGTAGAAATCGTAGTACTACTGAATCTCTGAAGATTTTTAAGTTTAGTTTAAAAGTATAATAAGTTGCATCGTTTGTTTATGGTACAAGTTAGTGACATCTGTTCTCTTTTTATTTTTATTTTTATTGGAAAATAAAATATATTCAGTTCTCTTTTTATTTTATACAAAAATTTGGCCAAAAGAAGTTACAGTAATGAACTGCATTTTTGTAATAAAAAGATGAAGTTACAGTAAGAACTGCATTTTTGTAATAAAAATGATAACAACGTTTTATTTAAATCGCGAAACGTGATTACCACTTTTACAAATTTTCAATCATTTTTCACTTTAAGCAGTCAAAAACAAAAACTTTATGTAGTAATTTACAGTATGTATACACTGATAATTACCAATTTACAATCACTATTTTCTTAACAGCGGTTATAGGTTGAATTATAAAATGGAATAAACAATAATAACGAAGCAAAAAGTAATGTGCCTCATCAAAATAACTTGGAAAGAGTAGGAAGCAAAGAAATAGGTAAGAAACTTATCAGTTATCAAAAAAAAAAAAAAAAACAAAAAAAACTTATCAGTAATCACCAAGAACTTGCATTGTCACACAAAAAAAACTTCTCTTTACTAATCTTAGCCACCATTCGTAGGTCCTACTTTGATATTCACTTCCTTCTAGAAAGCTCTTAGCCATCGCAGCTTCATATGTCTATCGTGATCACTACTTTCTCAAATGTGTTTTTAATTACAACGTAAGCACTTTAGTTAGTAGCCGGCGTGATGAGTAAATTTGTTCGGCAGTTCTGTTTTTTTTTCTGTCTTTTAACCAATCACAATAAAAATCTTGTAGAATCACAGTATATGTTCTGTCTTTCCACCGTTAATGTATAAAACAAACAGTTATACATCATTTGCGATTTGAATTAGTCACTAACAAGTACATTGACTAATTTTATGAGACTATTATATATATAGCGTTTGAGTTCTGCGAGACACTATGTTACTATATTTTAGGCAGACAGAATATATGAGACTGTGTTTTAGGTTTTATTAGAAAGTTTAAAATTTCTTTAGAGAATTAGTTAGTTTTTGATTCAAACACCCATGGCCGCCTTTAAGATGTTAAGGACTTTAAACAATTTAATAAATGGTTATATGTTCTATTTAACAAATTTAAGAATATACATATATATATATATATATATATATATGTAATTTTTCTAAAATTTTAGGAATGTACACAAATGTTTTATCGGCTTATGCTCAAATACGTCTTGCAGACACACCGAATAACTATAATCAGAATCGGTCCTAGTAAAAATATGTGGCTAAAAACAAAACTAAAATAAATTGCCTATGATCTTAAGGAGAATCAAACTCACGAGACTAAATTCTTGTAACCAGTACATAACCACTAATATTAATAGGGACTTTTTGTCAAAATAAAACCGAAATATATCATATTTTTTGGTGGCCGGAAGCAACCGCTTCCTCAACTTCCATCAAGAGCCGCCTTTGAATAAAACACGATTATATTTGTAAAGAAAATACGATCTTCGATTTTTTTTTCTACTTTTTTTTCTTTTACATTATTCCGAAATATAACCAAAATAACTTTTATATCATTAAAAATTAGTTGGAATATTAATGACAGATAATATTGATATATATATGGGTCAAACAATGTAATTCTTGTGAAGAGAAAAAATAAAGTCGAACAAGGAGCAGCTGACTTGACTTGGTCGCGGCTGGCGACCAACTGTTATTGCACTGGCCCACACTTGCATATATGGAAACATCACGCAGTTTCTATCTGAAAAAAAAACAGCACACCGTTTTCTATGGAGTATCATAAACCACTGTTCTTCGCCATATAAAACTACGTGCCGTTTGTTCGTATGCCATGTTTTTTACTCTCTAAAGAAATAAAAAAAGCCTTCTGATTTTTTGACTTCACATGTAAAAGTGATGATTGATGATGAATCATGTGAATACTTTTAAAAGAAAAGAAGGTTCCTTCAACGTTGTGGTTAGAGTTTAAAACCATTGACGTTTTATTCACTTGTACATAGCTTAAAGCATGTGATTCATACCCCCAAGCAACACATTTAGCAACGTGAATTACTTTTGTGTTATCATCAAACACATGGTTCAAGGTTCTTGGTAAGTAGGTTACCATCAAAGTGTTCTAAACCCATTGTTTCAGAATCACTATATTCGCTGATTGTGGTGAAGTAGAGATTGTGTATGTACCAGGCTGAGTTCTCATGGTGGTAAAACATGTAAGAGATGTAACTTTTAATTTTGAAAAGTTTAGAATGGTATATAACTATGTAAAAATATGTGACTGTTGTAGTCAATTATTTGCTGGGTAATAAACTAATGAGCAACTGTGACAATTTCCCACAAAGTTTATTGAAACAATTGTTCTTTACCTACACAGCTGGTAGCAACTGTGACAATCTCCCACAAAGTTTATTGAAACTATTGTTCTTTACCTACACAGCTGGTAGCAACTGTCACAACTTACCACAAAGTTTCGTTTCTTATCACTTTCTCATAGGACAATATTCACTTCTTGACTTCACCACAGTTCATGTATCCCTTTAGGATTGTGCCCCTGCAGCACTGTCTGGACTTCTTGCAGTAGATCCCTTGTGGCCTCAACCTTCATTCTAGCTTTGCCAAAAGCAGAGAGCAACGAACTGAAATGGCATTGAGATAACTTACCTTTCTCTTGCGTGAGAGTTATCATTTTCTCTGCTTTTATGTACTGTGAACTCCCTGCGTACTGTTTACTCTAATTTTTTATATAGTAAGCATACAAAATTGATAACAACGAATGTATTAAGATTTTTTTATACCAACAGCTAAAAAAATACGAACTGTTGATTCCTAAACATTACCGTTATAGCATCACATTCCACTGCTTATATACACAATTACCAAATAAAAAAAAAGAGACTTTATGGCTTCTTTGAGTTAAGATCAAGAACTGCTTTAGAGTCGAGCTCCCACCATTCACAATCTCCAGACCGTTTTGCTCTTCTCTCACGTCTAAACGCTGGAATCTGATGCGAGAATCTGTTCACTTCCGTCTTCGGAATATCTACAACACCGGCCTTTGTCTCAAGACACCTTCCATAGAGAAACTTGTTGAACACTTTGGCAGTCAAAAGCATTGCTTGTATGCTCTTCTCATCTGTTTCCACTATCTCAACAATCTCAACTTCTTCCCCAGTTTCAGCATAGTTCTTGTACAGAGCCCATATCTCACCTTTTCCTGGGTACACTTCGTATCTGTTTACACTACTCCTCACGGCGTTAACCTTGTGTGAGAAGCTGCTAGGTACAAGGACTTCTGCTTTACCCATTTTCAACTTGAATCGGCCACAGCACACAGGATGTGTTGTGAGATTTGGAGGAGGAGGGCGATAGAGCACTAGAGGTGCTGCATGTAGCTTGAACTCAGGGCTTGTGTCGATTCTCTTGATCTGAGCATACTTTCTTGGCATCCCTTTGTCACTGTACACAGCCCATATTTGATCAATCTTGAACTTGTCTGGAGATCTCTCGTTCTCGAAGTTGTAAGTGGTTTCTTGCCCTGTTGTGCAACTGGTTAGCACATGATTTAAGGATTTTATAGCACCATCCAAACCTTCATCTCTAAACTGAGACAATGACTTATCATCATATCTTCCACGTTTCCTTGACTGATCCGGGTTGCTTCCTTGATAAAATCTGGACAGTTGTTTTGCTTTCACCTCACAATCTTCAACCCATTTAGTCAACTCCTGTTCTGTGGCTTTCAGTTTCTGATCTTGTGCATTAACCCTTTCCTCTCTAGCAATAAGCTCCATTTCTCTAAGCCTAAGTCCGTTCTCATGTTCCATCAATGATGCTTTTATTTTGACTTGCTGCTCCTCTGTAGATTGCAACCCTTCCGAGCTTTCTTGAATCTTTTTCTCAAGAGATATCAGCACAGCAGTAAGGTCAGTGATTGAGCTTTGAACCTCATCACGATGTTTCCTCTTAGCTTCTAACTCGCATGTGCATTCCCTTATGGCCTCGGTGATTGAAGACACTTGTTCTTGTCTCACCTTGACTTGTCTGATAAGTTCCTCATTGGTGTTGTTCAGATCTTGTAGTTTCTTCTTCTCTCCTTCCTCAACTTGCTTATTTCTATCAGTGAGCGTCTTCTCTTTAAATGCAATCTCCACAGATAGTTTACGAGTAGCCTCTGTTATCTCATCGTGTCTCTTCTCTTTAGAAGCAAGTTCTTCAGTGTGTTTTTCAATCAACAGCTTGACTGATTCGCAGTGTCCACTCCGTTCATTAATCATCTTTTCAATGGCCTCCAGCTCCTTAGCTTTTGACTCCATCTCGTTATTTAGTGATTTGACCGTCTCTTCCCTCAGGTCAAGGTCTAGATTTAGTGCTTGCAACTCTTTCTCTTTAGAAACAAGTTCTAAGGACCGTGTCTCAAGCAGCTTCTTCTGAGAATCTAGTTGCTGTTCCACCACTTCAAGCTTCTTCTTCTGAGAAGCTAACCGTTCAAGATCCTTCCTCTTCCTCTCCATTTCCTCTTCCAGTTCTCTATTGCGAGTTTGGGTTCTCTTAAGATGCTTCATCTCTGCGGTAAGCTCACTGTGATGCCTCCCAAAATCAATCTTAATCTG